ACTACCTCCACTTTTTCACTCGTAACCCTCCTTTCTACCTCATCTTTCCCTCCCTTTCCTCTTTCACGTAACCCTCCTTTCTACCTCCATCTTTTCCCCCCCTCTTCCACTTGAACGTAACCCTCCTATCTACTTCCATCTTTCCCTCCCCTCTTCCCACTTTCACTCGTAACCCTCCTTTCTACCTCCATCTTTCCCTCCCCTCTTCCCACTTTCACTTGTAACTCTCCTTTCTACCATCTTTCCCTCCCTCTTCCTTTCACGTAAACCCTCCTTTCTACCTCCATCTTTTCCCTTCCTCCTTTACTCCCCTTCTGCTGCTCCTCCCTCTCCCCCTTCCTTTCTTCTCGTAATTTTACTTCCCTCCGACCCCGAAACCCTGTTTCTCCCCCTTCCACCTTCTTTCTTGTTCTTCCTTACTCTCCCCCATTGCTCTCCACTCCTCCCTTCCTCCCCTCCCCCTCCTCCAGCTGCTCAGCCCCCTCCCCATCCTCCCCCCCCCTCTCCCCTCTTTGCCTCCTCCTCCCTCCACCCTCCCCCTTGCTCCTCCCCTCCACAGCCCCTCTACCCTCCCCTCCCCTCCTCCTCCCCCCAGCCCCCTCTCCCCCTGCCCTCCCCCCCGCCACTCCCCCCCTCCCCCCTTGCTCCTCCCCCCAGCCCCTCCCCCCCCCCCCTCCTCCCCCAGCCCTCCCCCCCTCCCCCTCCCGCAGCGCCAGCCCGGATCGAAGGCTCCTGCGCCTCCGCCCGAGTGGTTGTTTGCTTGACAAATAAACCCGCGAAAATAGGGCGGGAATTCGAAGTTCATCGCGCGGACTCGAGGGCGGGGGCGGACGAGGGGGGGGGGCGAGGGCGGGGGCGGACGAGGGGGGGGCGAGGGCGGACGAGGGGCGGACTCGAGGGCGGGGGGGACGGGGGGGGGCGAGGGCGGACGAGGGGCGGCGAGGGCGGGGGCGGACGAGGGGGGGGGCGAGGGCAGGGGCGCGGGCGGGGTAGGAGAGGGAGCAGAAGCAATAAGTTGCTACTGCGGGCGGCCGCTCGCCTAATCTCCCGGCTGCTCGCGCGTGGCACGGGCGGCCACCCGGGGTTCCCGTCGTGTCACGATGGGCGTCGTTCGGCTCGTTTATGACCTTATTTCTTTCCTACGAGAGTGAAGGAGAGTCTACGTATATGCGGAATATGCATCTATACATAGATGAGTACATGGATGTATACATACATATTCATGTATATTCATAAATACACATATATATGTATACATGTGTGTACACATACACACACACCAGCACACACAAATAAATACACAACAAATACACACACACATACATTAATATGCATTTATACATATAAAAAAAGAGAAGTAAATATATTTGTTTGTGTAACTAGAATTAACAGGAAACACATAGAATGAAAATCAAAGGTTGCAGAAATTGACGATCCGACGGCTTATTACAGTCAGCTGAAACACACTTTCGAATCCTGATTCCATAAGCTTTTGGTCCAAACGCAAGCGGCTTTGACAGCCTGATATAAGCATTTATTTGCAGCATCCGCTTTCCGCCGGCACAGAGTCGGGTCCAATCACCCTTTGTGATGGTGTCGGCGTTTCTTTCATCAGCGCGCGTGGATGGTGTCGATTGGTGTCGGTTTCGGCAGGGGAAGGGGGGAAGGGGGGGGGGGGGGGTACCTCCGTGGATGGTGTCGATGTGTGGTCGGTTTGGCAGGGGAAGGGGGGGAAGGGGGGAGGGGGGGTACCTCCGTGGATGGTGTCGATGTGGTGTCGTTTCGGCAGGGGAAGGGGGAGGGGGGGGTACCCTCCGTGGATGGTGTCGATGTGGTGTCGGTTTCGGCAGGGGAAGGGGGGAAGGGGGGGGGGGGGGGGGGGTACTCCGTGGATGGTGTCGATGTGGTGTCGGTTTGGCAGGGAAGGGGGGAAGGGGGGGAGGGGGGGGTACCTCCGTGGATGGTGTCGATGTGGTGTCGGTTTCGGCAGGGGAAGGGGGAAGGGGGGGGGGTACTCCCGTGGATGTGTCGATGTGGTGTTGTTTGAGGGGAAGGGGGGATGGGTGAGGGGGGGGGGCTCCTGTTGCCGCGCCACGACCCAGCTCCTCCTCCGCGCTGCGGGGATGGCGGTGGTGGCGGTCTCTTCCGGGGCGGCGACGGGGAGGCTAATTACCTGCTGCAGGTGTGTTCCCTGCGCCGAGCGGCGGGAGTCGAGCTTCTGGGTGTTGGCGCCGTCGACTCGATCCGAAAAAGCCTTCGCCAAAATGGTTCCGGTTATGAAGGTAATGGCATTTAGGCAAGACTGTTGTCATTATTGACCAGTTGCCAGTATACCTACGCACCACACACACGACGTACATACACACATACACACACACACACGTACACCCACCCACCCACCTACGCCACCACAAAATTACAGACACCAGCACACATCACACCCCACACACACACACGCACACACACACACCACACACACCACACACACAACACGCACCATGCCACGACATAACAGCACCACACATCCGCTGCCGTCCAGACACACACGCACTGACTACGTAAGCACCGTGAACTACCAAGGCCGAAGAAAGAGATCAATTAACGCCATCTATCAACTGGCCGAAGGCACTGAACACTGGCAGGACCATTAATTTTTCAGAAGAATACAGAATAGACGCTCGGAACCTTCCTTTCTTCGTCTTCCCTGTGTATATATATATATATATATGATATAATATATTATATATATATATATATATATATATATATATATATATATTATATATTATATATTATATATATATAAGAAGAGAGAGAGAGAGAGAGAGAGAGAGAGAGAGAGAGAGAGAGAGAGTGACAGAGAGAGAGGAGAGAGAGGAAGAGAGAGAGAGAGAGAGAGCGAGAGAGAGAGAGAGAGGAGGAGAGAGAGAGAGAGAGGAGAGAGAGAGAGAGAGAGAGAGAGAGAGAGAGAGAGAGAGGAGAGAGAAGAGAAGAGAGAGAGAGAGAGAGAGAGAGAGAAGAGAGAGAGGAGAGAGAGAGAGAGAAAGAAGAGAGAGCGTAGAGAAGAGAGAGAGGCTGATACTAATGACAATAATAAACAAAATTCCAAACAGCTTTCAAACTCTCCCCTGCCAGCATCCTTCTCCGTCCTTCCTTCACCATCAAGCAACAAGCAGAAAGCACTGTATGAAGCCCCCTCAGTCGAAGCCAGGGTACA